AAAGAACCACTTGTAGAAGTAAGGAGAAAGTCACTATAGGATAGGGGACCCTTCTGGTTAGAGAAGGTGGAATCTCTAGGGTGGGGACTAGATTTAGATACAGGGAAGACAATCATGACGATTAGGACTATGTTTTGCTGAGGAAGAAGAGGAGGAACCCGAATCAGGAAATGGGGTTATCTGATTAGATTTCCACTGCAGACTCAGGTCCCCTTCTCTCCAGGACCACACTGGTTTCTCCAACACTCAAATCCTGTTACTCTCAGTCCTCGGTCCATTCCATAAGGATGTCTCAGGGAGAAGCACTAAGCTGGCTTCATGAGAGCCTCACAAGAGCCTGGAAATGCTTTTCTAGACAGACCTAGAGTAAAAACACCAGGAAACTGAATGGGTCTGTGGGTGAGTGAGGCAGAGGGGGGAACAGAAGCAGAAGTACACTGTGTGTGTAAATGAGCATAGCTTAGAGACGCTCAACCAAGGAGAAGACCACTCATTCATTTCCACAGTTCTAGGCACAGGGTAGGGCCTCAGTGTTTAATGATTGAATGAATAGGGAAATGAATTATTCCTCTAGCATTTAAACAATCATGCCAGTCGCCACTTTTGTTTAAGCCAAATCACTTGCTGTCTCTGTTCTGAGACAGAGACTTTCCCCTCCAATGTAGGCACTTAATCCAACTGTGTAAGATCACAGGTTTTTGCACCCAGTTTCTTACCCTTAGTATGTCCTTCATTTTCTTTCTCCCCATACTAAGCGTCTCAGAATATCTGGGAGGCATTTGAGTCTTTTATTAAGTAGGTGTGGGGAGCGTTCTTGTGAACAAGTTCACATACAGCAAAAGACAGCTCTGTTGAGAGAGGTGGGAAGTACGATGTGGAACATAGCATGAACTAGGAAAAGACCCACAGAGGTGGGGGTGAGGGCAGCTGGAGGTCTCTGGGCTCCTCCACGACAGGAGCATCTGCTTGACCTGGTGAAGGACGTGTGGTCATTTGGTCCATGTGTCCACTGAGGTTCATCCACACCTTTCCTAGACACAGCCTTGGAATCCCTAGGAAAACACTGACCAATAAACTAGGTTGAAAAATATGTAGAAGGCCGGAAATATCAGCCGGGAGTATTTGTCAATGGCATGGGTGTTCTGGAAGATGTAGAGCCCCATGTGGCCTTTGAGAAGGCCTTTCTTTCTGGAGGACGTCAATTCGGTGTTGAGGGCCAAATGGACCACTATTTTGTCTTGTCTTTCTTCTTCTGGCAGAATATGGCTTCTTGGGTAGCCAGCCAGGCTGTTGGCCTCAGATTCACTGTAGCTTCCATCCAGCATCATGGTTCTTGAGTGAAGCATTCCACACATGCATGGAAACTACAGGCAGCAAACAAAAGGGCTCAGTTAGATCTTGACGATGGGAAGAGGAGCTGGTCTGGTTACAGAGTGATGGCCCATTGCTACTTTGGCGTCCAGAGAGACATAGTCATAAGGACGTCCTCAGAGAGAATTGAGTGGAGTAATTCTCTACACTGGTTGCATGTTAGTATCTCCAGGACCACTCGCATACCTATTCTATGCTGGTTTAAAACTTGAAATGGTTCCACCATTGTGTAGCAGTTTCCTCACAACTGAAACATTCCTTCGGGGAGGCTCATTAGATAGTGTAGTGTGGTTTGAAAGAAAATAGCCCCTGAAGGGCGTGACATTATTAGGCAGTGTGGCTTTGTTGGAGTAGGTATGACCTTGTTGGAGGAAGTGTATCACTGTGGGGATTGGCTTCCTATGCTCAAGCTATGCTCAGTGTGGCCACAGATGCTTCTGCTGCCTGCAGATCAAGATACAGAACTCTCAGCTCCTTCTCGACACACTATGTCTGCCTGCATGCCATCATGCCACCTCCATGACAATAATAAACCTCTGAACTGTAAGCTAGCCTCAATAAAATTTTTCCTTTATAAGAGTTGCCTTGATCATGGTGTCGCTTCACAGCAATAGAAACACTAAGTAAGACAAACAGAAAGTAAACAATTCAAAATAGCTTCAGAAAAGTTCCTGAAACTGACCAGATGCATAAGGCCCCCTTCCTCCACAAGATATATGAGTAGTGAAGACTTCGGACAAGCCAAACTGCAAAGACTCTGAGACAAGCCCAGCCACAGGCAAGAAGCAGAGACCTAAGGAAGTGCCTGAAACAAACAAAACCAACCAAGCTCCCTGGAAAGAGGTTCAGACTAACTGGGCCGCAGAATAACTGTGCAGGGTGCCCCAGGTTCCCAACTTTTGTGTGCTGTCACCCCTGGGAGGGCTTTAGTGATACAGTTGTCTTTGAGTCATTTCTGTTCCTGAGAGTAATGCCTCACCCATATTCCTGTAAGTAATCTCAGGAAAACAGTTCGCCAACTTGGTCTTTGATAGTATCCATATTTTGGTCTGTCATGGTCTATCTATCTGGGATGAGGTGTGTGTGTGTGTGTGTGTGTGTGTGTGTGTGTGTGTGTGTGTGTGTGTGTGTGTGTGTGTGAATGTGGTGTACACATGCCACAATTCATGGGGGGAGAGAAGGGAGAGACGGGGAGAGAGAGAGTGTGTGTGTGTCTACCCAGGAAGTCTGTTATACAACAGTTGTGCAGCCAGAATTGAGAACCACTGATCCAGCCCAATTAATTTCAGAGGTGAAAACAAAGATCCAAATACTACACAGTTCTCCTGAAGCCAGGTAGCAGATATGAGATTCAGAGTTTTGTTTTATTCATTTTGTTTGACAAAGGATCTCACTGTGTAACCTAGGCTTGCCTAAAACTGTCCACTTTGCTCTTTCTCACTCATGAGTGCTTAAACCAGGAACTGAAATCTATGCATTCTATTTCTGGTCCTGGGATCTCCTCTGTGTTCATGAGTAAAGAAAAGAAGACTAGGAAAGGCTGGGAAATCCACTCAGAAGTACAGCACTTACCTGACATGTGCAAGTCCCTTAGTTCTGTCCCCAACATTGAAAAATCCTTATATCAGAGTGCCCTTATCACAAAGCTACATTTAAGTAAGAGTTAAGGGTCATACGTGGACATAGAAGTGCATGCATGTAATCCCAGCATTCCAGAAACTAAGGCAGAAAGATCACAAGTTTGAGCCAGCCTGGGCTACTTGTGAGAGACCCTGTCTCTTAACAAATACATAAATAGAAAAAGAGTTAGAGTTTATGGTGCCCATATGGCATTTTAAGATAACTAATTAATTTGTATGTGGTGGGTGCAAGCTTGTGAATGCATGTGCAGAGAGGCCAGATGAGGACACTGAGTATCTTCTTGTGTTATTCTCTACCTCATTCATCCATTCATTCATTCATTCATTCATTAATTTTAAGATAAGGTTCATTATGTAACACTGGCTGGCCTAGAACTCACTATATGGATCAGGCTGTCCTACAACACAGAGATCCACCTACCTCTGCCTCCCAGGTGCTGAGTTTAAAGGTGTAGGCTATCACAGACAGCTCTTTATCATCATCATCATTATTATCATAGATTAATTATATATTATTACATATTATAATTATGTAGCAATAATATGTAGTTTTTGTGTTTGAGTGTTTGTATGTTCATGTGAGCAGGCTAGGGGGTTGGCTCCTATGGAGCTGGGGTTACCTAACATGGGTGCTGAACTCTAGCCACCTACAAGAACAGTACACATTCTTAACTTCGGAGCCATTTCTCCAGCCCTCGCCTTATTTTTTGAAGCAGGGTCTCTCACTGAACCTGAACCTCACCATTTCAGCTGTGCTGATGGCCATCAAGCTACCTCAGTCTGTCTGCCTTCTTTCTGTAGCCCTGGAGATGCAGGCATGTGTGGACTCAGGTCGTTTTCCTGTCACAAGCCCTTACCTATGTGCTACCTCCATAACCCTAATGGTGCGTTTTTAAACAGCTCAACTGCACCAACCAAGATGGGAGAAGCTCAGTTCATTGCTGCAGGGCAGGTGGTAGGATGACAAATACCTCTCCTGCTGTTCCACCCTGAAAACACTGTTGATTGTTAAACTGTTCCCAAAGTGGTAGATGAGCAGAATTAGGTGAAGGCCTGGGCATCTTTTAAAACAGAAAAGTGAAGAATTATCAAACAAAAGTATTTAAATAGGGTCTGGAGAGATGGCTGAGTGGTTAAGAGCCCTTGATGCTTTTGCAGAGAACCCATGTTCAATTCCCTGCACCTACATGGTGGATCACAGTAGTAGATAGGCCCATAATCCCAGTTCCAGGACATCTAAGATCTTCTTCTGACCTCCGCAGGTACTAGGCATGCCCATGGTGTATAGACATACATTCGAGTAAAACACTCAAACACATAAGACAAAATAAATCTAAAACAGAAAAACCATGTAAAAGGTATTTAAATTAGGCTAGAGTGATGGCTTAGTGGTTAAGAGCAACCTTGTGCATCTGGAGACAGTGTGGAAGCACTTGAATGGTGTGATTCAGATATGATGCTGAAAGCCCAGTTCTATAAAGGGAACATGTTCCTTTCCTAAAATTTAAAGTCCCTTCTGGTAAGGAGTCGGCAGTTACCCAGGTGAACACAGATGTGGAATTTTCATGTTTTTTGTTTTTTGTTTTTTGTTTTTATATCTGTACCTTCTAAGTGACCACCATGTTGATTGATGTAATTGTCAGCATTGTGCTGGTAGTAATGACACACAGGAGAAACTGGGAGAAATAAGTTGATGCTAGAAAGCATTTACTAAACTTGCTTAGGAAATAATAAATTATATAAAGTAGAATTTGGCTGAAGGAACATTCCTGGTTATCTTATCAGAAAGAGCATGATTCTGCCAGACAGACAGGTCGACTCTGGCTAACAGCTGCCTGGGAATACAGCCCTGATCTGTCCAGGGAAAACTATGACAGCATATTACATTGTAAATACTTCCATTTATCCAAACAACCAAGCCTCGGAATTTCTGTCCCTGTGAAACATGGCTAATTGTTAAAACCATAACTTGGGACTGGGGCTTAAAAGATCTCTTCAGAAGAGCTCTGCAGGTGACATAGCATATAAAATAACTCAAACCTAGATAAGCCCCTGATAATTTCTATATAGAGGTGGTTCCCTTTGGGCACTAGCCAAAACTGGACATATACTGTTACGAGGAAGCTTTTCCTAAATGTGAAGTGGTCTCTCACTGACTTACTTGTCAGATACAATAAGACAGAGGGGAAGGTGTATTGCCAGGGGACAGAACTCAGGGCTTTGTGCTATGATTAATACAGCATTCCTGTATGAAACATCTTATTGCATTGCATGTTACAATACACCATATTGATAAAATGCAGTATTGGAAGTACAGTATTTCTAGGGAATCCAAAGGGTAAATAATTAGCCTTAACTCATACTTGGCTAATGTTTACAGAGCATCAATCATTAAAGGAGCTTTGGGAAGCCTGAGGGTGTGGCTCATTGGTTAATTACTTACCTAGCACAGGTAAGGCCCTACACCAAATAAAAAATAATAATAAACAATTCAATAACTAAAGGAACTTCTTATTCCAGAACACTTCTGTCTCTTCCGTTCATAGAACAGGAAGCCTGTGTATGTTAACTAATAATATATTGAAAGACCCCGCCCCTGGCTGGTTCTCTCTCGGTGACACTCCCGTACGCGCGCACACTCCCACACGCCTGGCGGCTGGCTCCCTCCAAAGCCGGTTCACCCAGGCGGGGCCGCGACCCAGGCCCGCCCGCCTGGCGCCGCGCCCCGGGGCTGGGGCCGAGCAGGGAGAGGACGCCCCCCCCCCATGGGGAACCTCCGTCCCAAGGTCAGCCATCTGGACGCGGAGGGGGGAATTGGGTCTGTTGTACCAGGTGCAGACCTTGAGAATATACTGATAACTCTGTACCTCATTAAATTGTCCAATAGAATCCCTGTAACTATGCTTTTCGCTTCTGCACTGTGCTTTTTAGCTATATAAGGACCCCTCTCCCTTGGCTCGGGGCTTAGCCTAACAAAAGCTAAGCCCCGGGGTACCAGCGCTACTAATAAAGCCTCTTGCTTTTGCATCCAAAGTTCGTGGTTTCGCTGATTCCTGGGTGCGGGTCTCCTTCTACGAAAGTACCTCTTCTGAGGTCTTTCAATATAATGTGTGTCTAGAACCCTTCAGTTTCAAAACAGCTTTCCCATGCATGACCTCATGTGACCCTTACATTGACCCTAGGAGGAAGTGGGGTACAGGGGCTCTGCAATCCACTAGGAAACCAAGACAGAATTCAGATGGTAGAATTGGATCTAAATTCAACTTTTCCTGTTCTTATTCTTCGTCCAAACACTTCATGCTTTCTACACTATGTGGCAAAAGCTAGAACATATTCTCAAAAGGGATTAGCCT